TCTCCTTTTCCCCTAGGCCTCCAATTAAATATCACCCTAAATTCTCACGTCAATGCATTTGAGAACAGCCTTTCAAAAGATAATAGAAGCAATAACAGGAGGTATCAGGTCCCAGTCACATGAGTTTCCATAAGGACTACCACGTTTTATGTATAATCAGTTTACGGACTATGTCCTAACTCTCCTCCTAGGTTATTTTTTGCATAGATGGTACTTGCCGGGGAAGAGAAAGCTCTGCAAAATTAGGGACGTGACAAGTCATGGAAATACATAGGCTTGTTTAAGCATTTGGGAACAGCAAAAGGTGACTGAATACAGCAGTAGAATCAGACTATAGAAAAAAGAGGAATAGGACAAAGCTTCACGTTAAAAGGGGGCCCATAGGACAAGAAGAACTGAATCTAAATGGCAGGGCTTATTCAAAGAATAAGAAAACACCGATTTGAAAAGATATATGCACCCCTATGTTCATTATGGCATTATTTACTATAGCCAAGATATGGAAACATGGGATATATATATATATACACACATGTATGTATACATGTGTGTACACACACATACACACACACACACACACACACACAATGGAATACTACTCAGCCATAAAAAGGATGAAATAATGTCATTTGTGACAACATGGATGGACCTTGAGGGTATTATCCCAGCTGAAATAAGTCAGATAGAAGTGACAAATACCATATGATTTCACTCATATGTAGAATATGAAAAACTAATAAACAAATAAAAACAAAATAAATAAACCAAACCAAACCAAAACAAACACATAGATACAGAGAACAGAACAGTGGTTACTAGAAGGGGAGGGGTTGGGGGGAGGGTAAAATGGCTAAAGGGGATACATGCATGGTGATGGATGGAAACTTAATTTTTGGTGGTGATCACAGTGTAGGGTACACAGAAGTAGAAATATAATGTTGTACACATAAAACATACAATGTTATAAAACAATGTTACCTCAGTTAATTGAAATACATAAACATTATAAATGAATGAAAGAATGACAGAGCAGCCCTGACGGTGAGAGAGAGAGATGCAGAGACAGAGAAAGCTTGCTTGCTCTTAAGGAAACCACAACCCCACTGTCATAATCGGAGTCACAGGAGGAGCTTTTGCAAATTGTGTAGACCCTCCCTTCCCAAGAATTTCATTTCTTTCCTGAGGATCACTGCCTTCCTTCTTCCCTCCCTCCCTCCCTCTCTTCCTTCCTTCCTTCTTTCTTCTTTTCCTTCCTTCAACATAAATCTGAACAACTCCAGCCTTCTTAGAAATCTCCAGTGACCTCCCACTGACCTGAGATTAAGTTCTTGCCCCCAAACCTGGCACTTCGAACCCACTGACCTTTATCTCACACCTTCTCCCCGTCACTCTCTATGCTCTAACCACAGTGGACTTTAATTTCCTCAAAGCTATAAGTTGTATCCTAGGTCAAGGTGTCCCCACTTGCTGCTTCTTCGAAATAGAATACGCCCTCCTCTTCTTTGCTGAGCTCAGCAATTCTCAAATCTTTAGGGCTCAGGATTTCTTCACACTCTTACAAATTAGTAAGAATTCCAAAGAGCTTTTATTCAATGCAGATTCTATCTATGGATATATACTTGTTACAGATTAAAACTGGGAAATTTAAAAATATTTAATCCATTTTAAAATAACATAGAAAACTGATTCTACTTTAACATAAATAACATATTCTATGAAAAATAACAACATTTACCAAAACCAAAAATACATTAGTGAAAAGAGCAGCATTGTTCTACATTTTTGCAAATCTCTTTAATGTCTGGTTCAAAAGATTGTTTCTCATAACCGCTTCTATGTTCAATCTGCTGTGATATCATATGTCCTGTAGCCTCTGGAAAACTCTACTGTACACTTGTAAGAGAATGAAAATTTTAAAAATGACTATTTACTTCCTAGTATTATTATGAAATAGGTTTGACTCCTGAACCCTCTAAAAGCTTCTTAGGCAGGGACCTCCAGGGATCTCAGGCTGTACTTTGAGAACTTCTACTTCTTTCTTTTTTTCCTCAAGTTTATTATGGTACCGTTGACAGATAAAACTGTAATACGTTTAAAGTGTACAGCATGATTTTGATATACATATGCATTATGAAAGGATTCCCACAATTAACACATCCATTACCTCACACAGTTACTTTTTTGTGTGTGTGATGACATTTGAGTTCCACTCTCTTAACAAATTTCAATCATACAGTACAGCATTACCAACTAATCAACTATAATCACCATGTTATACATTAGATCCTCACACCTTACTAATCTTATAACTGAAAGGTTGTAACCTTTTATCAACTTCTCCCCATTTCCTCCACCCTCAGCCTCTGGCAACCACTCAATCTATTCTCTGAGTGTGACTTTTTTTTAAGGTTTCACATATAAGTAATACCACGTAGTATTTGCCTTTCTCTCTCTGGCTCATCTCACTTATCATAATGCCCTCCAGGTTCATCAATGCTGTCACAAATGGCAGGATTTCCTTTTTTAAGGGTGAATAATATTCCACTGTATATAGAGACCACATTTTATTTATCCATACATCTGTCAATGGATACTTAGGTTGTTTCCATACCTTTGCTATTGTGAATAATGCTGCAATGAACATGAGAGTACAGATATCTCTTAGAGATTATGATTTCATTTCCTTTGGATAAATACCCAGAAGTGGAAATGCTGGATCATATGGTAGTTCTATTTTTAATTTTTTGAGAAAGCTTCATACTGTTTTCCATTGTGGCTTTACCAGCTTATGCTCCCACCAACAGTGGTACATAAGTGTTCCTTTCCTCCACATCCTTGCCAGCACTTATTTCGTCTGATCTTAAAGATTAAATTTGCAAGGAGGTCTCCCTTGACCTCAAAGAATAGGTGGTCCTCTGCTCCTATAACAACACCCTCTACCCTTCTGTCAAAACACTCGTCATACCTATAAATGAACCAATAATTTGCATGAGGACAGACCATGTCTAGCTTTGCCCACAGTGAATCTCCAGTGCTCAGCCCACATAGTAGGGATTTGAGATCTTTGTGGAAAGGGAGGAAGACATAGAGGAAGGGATAGAGAGAGGGAGGTAGATAACCAGACC